GCGTGCTGAGCTAACGACAAGAAAGATTAGCACAAATGATAACACATTTAAAGTGCCGGCTTTAGTTTTGAGACACACAGACTAGACCTGAGGACCTGTGTCCACATTTTGTCCAGCGCCTGTGAGTCAGATTTCACACTGTGAAAGCAGTTAAGTCAGGACCTGGGGGGGCGGGGGGGGTGCGACTTACATTTTCCCTCCACAGCTAAAATAAATCATGACACAGATTACAGTGGAGTTTGGTTGTGATCCAGCACAGACTCTTTGCTCTGTCGCCACAACAAACACAACAACAACAACACACTTAAAAACGAAAAATTCATTCAATCAATTTATTAAAACGATCTTGGAGCCTTTACCTGCTGCTTTAATGATTATGTTTGGGATTTTGTGTAGTTTCTTACTCTTCACTCTGTGCTCCATGGGTTTGTTTCTGGTGATCAGGGTTAGGGAATCCATTATGTCAATGAGTGTCATCACAAATATAGAAAGACCAACGTGTGAGCGTGAATCTGAAGAAACATTTTTCTGATTCTGAAATTTACATCAAAAAATCAAAAGTGCCAGAAAGTCACAAACATAGACTGTAAATAAAGATGGACGCAGCCTCCGTGGCGTCACCCGCTGGTTTCTGAAAAGCGGTTTTGAGCCTCAGAGTGAGCTGCTCTGCTGTGGCCGTCTTGGCAGTGCTTGACTCCGCCCCTAACTCCCAGCTAATCACAAATGGGCAAAAAGTGGAGTCTGTGTGGAGCTGAGACTTTAGGGCATACGCTTCTGTTAGCATCTTTAGCACAGCTGGGCGTCTGGGTATCTCACTCGAAGGCTAACCCAGGGTTAATTCAGTTGCTGGCAAATGAGCTTGTGAACAAGCTAAGCTAACAAGCCAGGTATGGTGAGCGCATACACAAGCTAATTAGTGCTAACGTATAAATTAAAAGAGGCAGAAATGGTAGACTCCCTCAAGTTCTGTCTGATCTTAGCATGAAAAATCCTCCAAAAGACACCAACACGTTCAGTGCATCCACCTGTCACTCAAACTGGCCACACCCTCAATTATGCACAACTTTAAGCCTTAATAAAAATGTAAACAGGTGAGTTATATAAAAATTAACCAGAGGTGGAAAACAACGCCAATGTTAACTCTCTATCTCTTTAACATCCTTTCTTCTACTTAAGTTAGCATGCTAACCAGCTAGCCCAGTATGTCTCGTCACTTTCCGATAGCGACTCGCTGAAGCCTCCCATCTGCCCCGAAGACGCAGCGCTGCTCAGAGGACGTATTATAACCTTGTCTTGTAAATGTAATGACGGCTGAAGCTCCCGTCGAGCGACAAGAAATCACGTTAGGCGGCAGAGAAAACCAGTTGTTAGCGTGCTGAGCTAACGACAAGAAGATTAGCACAAATGATAACACATTAAAAGTGCCGTCTTAGTTTTAAGACACACAGACTAAGACCTGAGACCTGTGTCCATCATTTTGTCCAGCGCCTGTGAGTCAGATTCACACTGTGAAAGCAGTTTAAGTCAGGACCTGGGGGGGCGGGGGGGGTGGACTACATTTTCCCTCCACAGCTAAAATAAATCATGACACAGATTCAGTGGAGTTTGGTTGTGATCCAGCACAGACTCTTTGCTCTGTCGCCCACAACAACAACAACAACAACAACAACACATTAAAAACCGAAAAATTCATCATCAAGTTTCATATTTTAATCTAAATGCAGCAGAACGTCCATAAAAAAAACCAACAGCAGACTGGACCCCTGCCATTCTGCTGAATTGGCTTCAGCTGCGACCTTTGTTCAAACACAAAAAAAAGGTTCATTTATCACGACAACATTTTCTGTCTCAGTGGCCTTTTCATCTGTGGAATAACACGGCGGCATGTATGTGTTGAAATGTCTCGAGTACAATTTAAAATCATCCTGTTTCCAGCCGCAGGATCAAAGCTGTGGAACAAAGGGCTTAAGTAAAGACTTCAAAGCTGTGTGTGTGTGTGTGTGTGTGTGTGTGTGTGTGTGTGTGTGTGTTGTAGTGACAAGACCTTAATTTGAGAAGAGATCTAACTACAACAGGGAGTCAGAGGCTGTCAGGTGCCAGGAGTTAAACATCAACAGGTAAGGATTCACCTGCTGTCTGCCTCCTTTGGTCTCCAGCGACCTGAACCCAACAACTGGTTCTGTGTCTGGTCGGGTTCAGTTCTTTTGTGTGTAAAGCCTCGGGCTCAGGTCGGATTATTGTCAGATGTGACTTTTGCTGATGGCTCATTAGAAATTGACCAACCTGAGAAGCTAAGAGTCAAACTGTGTGAAGACATTAATAAATGGCTTGACCGGTGAGTGATTCATTAATAATAATATAACATTTTGTTACATATACGTATATTTTATTTGAGCAGTCGAACAACATCTCAACCGATCAACCAGCTGTTACAGCTGTTTGTGACTCCAACACAAACCTGTAACCCTGGGTCACTGCAGACGGCAACAGGTTAACGGCACTATAATTAAAACAACTAAATAAAGTCCACACAGTGGATCATTAAACACCAGGAGATAAACTGTTGGTGAGCCAATCAGAAGAGAGGAGGCTCTGAGCCTCTCTTCTGATTGGCTGACTGTTTTCTGACTGATCCAATAAAAATATAGCAGATTTCAGGTAATAACACTCAGAGAAACCAAATCCTGCAAGGTTTGGATGGTGGGTCCAGGTGGGCGGGGCTTGGTGACTGCTTTGTTGTGACATCACAAAGTTCCAGAAGTCCTGACGGCTGGTTTTAAGGCTCAGTTTCTGAATACAGGCTGTGTGCATTTCTCTGTGGACTGAGGCTTTGATACTTTCACAGTATTAATATAGAAGCTAGAGCTGATCTATAATCACACTACACATGGACAGAGACCTTTACACTGGAGGAGCTTTAACGAAAGAGATTACTTTGTTATTTTTAGATCCTCATCACGAGTCATAAACCAAAGCTGTTCTTTGTCAGCCTCAGTGAGCTTCAAGTCGCTTTCTTGATGAAACTAAGATGAGAAGATCGATTGAAGTCTCATATCTCTTGGTCCTATATGAACCAGTTAGCTTAGCTTAGCATAAAGACTGGAAAGATGTCTTCGTACAGATTTTTTACCTTTGAAAAAGGAAGGATGGATGATGTCCTTGTCAAAGTCAAAAACAACAGGACAAATAAATGACAAAGCACAGAATGATTGGTGTTCTCTCTATTTATTTTTTTCTTCTTTTCCCAGACTCCTGGAGGAGCATAAATATTTTACAGAGCGAGAACATCAGTTTGGTTATTTACAAGATATAATAAATGACGTACAACTCACAATGTTGGCTTGTGTTCGGAGCGCTGGAGGAAGAGATTGAGGAAGAGGAGGAGGAGGAGGAGGTAGGGAAAAAGAAACAACTACAGTCATTTTACTGTTCTGCTGAGAGGACGCGGCCCGCCTCAAATCTGATGTCACACACAAACAAACAGCTGAAAGAAAATGGCTACCAATCTGTGGCATGATGGCCGCCGCTGTACACGCCCCTGTTCGACCCTGAAGGAGACGACTTCTCCACAAACAGCGAATAAATACAGAGAAACGCAATCTCCAGTGTTTCAGTCCATTTCTTGTAACTTTTTAAAGGAAGGGTAAAACCCTGGTAATAAACTCTGTGCTGCCTGAAGACAACCTGAACTCTCAGCCTGAACCTCAGACATCCAGTCCGCCTCTTTAGCTCACGCAATAAAACATGCTCCACTTCAGCAGCACAGCGATGCACATCTGCACCGCTGGTTTAAAAATCATCAGCAGGGAGGAGAAAGAGAGAGAGGGAGAGGGAGAGAGAGAGGGAGAGAGCTGCAGAGGAAATCACAGCGAGCTGACTGATTTAACGTCCAGTCAACCCTGCTTTAGTCTCCCTGTTCCTCCCTCAGGGTTTCTCTCCCTGGAAGTTTGAGTTCCTCAGCAGGAACACTGAATAATTCATGCCTCACAAAAAACGAAAAAATTAGCTGAGATGCATCACCTCTGTTAACCACAGCCGAGGGCGGAACAGGAAGTCCAGGATCGATCATCTGGACTCGTAAAGATCCATCGCCTTGAATTTTATTCAACCACTGAGCCGAGACTCTCCTCTGTGTTTAATGAGCTCCAGACGATCGAAGCTGTTGGAGACGGTTTGTATTTTAACCTGAAGCTGAAGCGACGTCGCGTCATCAACACGTGTCACACCGACAGACGCGGCCGCTCGTATACAGTAAGAGGGGAGCACGTGGTAAAGCTGCTGCCTCTGGGAAGAGTTCCCATGAGACAAACTACAAACTAAAGCTGCAACATCAAATTATTCTGCAAATATTTAGTTTCAGTCATTTTTCAAACATTTGCTGCTTCCAGATTCTCAGATTTGAGTTTTTTTGCTTCTTGTTTAATGAAATAATTATTTTGTTTTGTACAGCAAGTTATGGACATAAAACGATTTGTCCGGTTCAGTCTGAGGGTCTCGCTCTCGTGTAGGAGCGTCACCGCTTTGCTACGATGATCTGCTGATTTAAAAAAAAGAGGAAAACAGGATGAAATATTTGTTTTAGTTTAATTTCGTCTGACCTCTGGTGTTTTATCATGCAGGTAGTTTGGGTTTTATTTCAGGTGTTTCAACATAATGTCTCTGAGATTTCCACCTCCACTACAGTACGATCACTTCTCCCAAAAGGGACTATTTCTTCAGCAGAAAGTAGTTCCAGTCATGCCTGCGGATAGAGGACACTCTACAAGTTACATTCACTTCACCTCAAAAAAGAAAAGAAAAATTAAGCTGGAGAAATGAAACCAAAGCGTCTGATTGGCTGACACCACTAGAGGGACGTAGTCTGGTATTTTATCAGCTGTGCTTGTAACGGTTCGGTCACTGTCATTAACTGTTTTCAACACTGAGGGCGTTTCCTGAAGCGGACGCCGCAGCTCCGTCGTGTCGTTAGTTTGTTTGAAACACTGAGTCGTACATGGAGGGAACGAGTTCATCCTTTATTCTCTTACATTCCTGCTCAGAGACACAAACACACTGAAGAGGCACTCATGCAAAACTACCTGTGTGTGTAAGAAGCTAACGGGATCGTTGTGATGTAACAGCAGCTTCCTGCCGCCTCGCCGCCTCACAACTGACCACGCTGAACACGTGACTGAACGCAGATTCTGCAACACCTGAATGTGGATCAAGCTTCAGCCGCTCTGTTTTTATTTTTTCTAAGGAGATTATCCCAACAAGTACCAAGTAAACAGACCGGTGCCTCTCTCTGAGACTGTGGAGGTGAGTGGAGGAAGAGGAGGAGGAGGACGAGGAGGAGGAGGAGGAGGAGGTCTGAAGGTGGAGGTTTGTGCGTATCGACTCAAGTGCAACATGAGTTGGAGGAAACATGGAGGGAGACCTGTACAGCGTGGTGCCATCACGCCACAGAGTCGCCAACACACAACTACATCGCTGTCCGCTGTGGGGGAGGAGGAGGAGTGGTGGGCCGCTATGGGTGTGTCCAGGGGAGGGGACTGAGGAAGTGCTTGGGAGGAGGAGGAGGAGGAAGAAGGTGTGAGGAGGTCATGGAGGCCAAAGGTCCAGGTTGCTTAGATGGGCAGCTGGAAGGTGATGTCCACTTGAGCTTCTTTAGCCAGTGAGACGATTTCAGAAAGCTTTACAACCTGAGAGAGAGAGAGACAGAGAGAGAGACAGAGAGAGAGAGAGAGAGAGACAGAGAGAGAGAGACAGAGAGAGACAGAGAGAGACAGAGAGAGAGACAGAGAGAGAGAGAGACAGAGAGAGAGAGACAGAGAGAGACAGAGAGACAGAGAGAGACAGAGAGAGACAGAGAGAGAGAGACAGAGAGAGAGAGAGAGAGAGGCAGAGAGAGAGAGATAGAGAGAGAGAGAGACAGAGAGAGGCAGAGAGAGAGAACATCATGAGGTCAGGAGGAAAGATATGAAGGAGAATTCATTAACTAACTTTATTTACAACATAAATCCTTTCACAATCACAAAAACAAGAAACAGGATGGAAATGTTGAAACAGGATATAATTAGAGTTCATCAAATAATAATTAAATGAAAATAAAGAGGTGATTGAGGAGCCAGAACAGATTATACTCTGTATATTTTCTTCTGTGTTTTAGAGTTTTGACCTTTTTATACATGGGGGAGGGGGGTCTGCTCTGGTGAAACTGCAGCTGGTTAGCGTAGCTTAGCTTAGCATAAAGACTGGAAACAAGGGCAAACAACCTGCCTGACTCTCACTGAATCTCACTGATGAACACGTTCAGATCTGTTTCATGTCGTTTGTGGACTTTGGTCTTAAGCCATGATCCTGTGTGTGTGTGTGTGTGTGTGTGTGTGTGTGTGTGTGTGTGTGTGTGTGTGTGTGTGTGTGTGTGTGTGTGTACCATTTTGGCGGCTTCGTCCAGGTCGTCACAGGCCAGGATTTTCAGAGGGCTGGCAGCGATCAGAGCTTTAGCATCGTCCACTCTCGTCCCTGAAAAAACAAAACAAATCATCATTTATATAAAGTATACATCCACACCTGACTGTTACACCTCAGCTTCTGCATCTCATTATATCAAATCCATGACTTTGTTGTTGTTGAGTCAAATACTTTGACGCTTCTGGACGGTGATGAATCCTGGAGGTTTGAGCGTCTTAAACTTTAAACTACAGTTTCCAATTTTACTAAAAACAATCTGTAAATCTTAATTTGTCCGAGTGTCAGCAGAACCCCTGAGAACTGACGAAGCCTCTGCTGCTGCTGCTGCTGCTGCTGGAAATCTCTGTGATTACATTATTATAGGTTTTTAAACAACGTCCAATCCTGTTTTTCACACATGGGTGAAAACTGCCAGAGAAGATGCGTGGAGCGTTACATGAGTGCATCTGCTGCGTCTTCACAGAGACGCTGAGACATGAGGCGGGACGACCCCGAACACTAACACCTCTCAAACATGAGGAGGAAGAACTTCTGCAGGTTGAGCTCTAATCAAACGTGTAAACAGGCACTTTCGTGGTGGAAATGACATTAACGAAGAAGCCCTTTGGCCGTTTGAATTAGAGTAAAATCTGCAATTTAAATGATAATTAAATGTGTAAAGAAGCAGCACGTCCACAGCTTGAATTAAAAGTATAAATCTTTACATCCGCGGCGCAGAATATTTCCATAACAGAAACTCTCCCCCCGAGGAAACCTGAGGAATGTCAGCTCTGTTTAGACTCATGCATCATTTCTCTCTGCTTGGAAATCTCAAGGCGACACTGTGAAAGAATAAAGATTCAGCTCCGCAGGACGCCACGTGACCACGAGCAGGAATAATAACCTTTATAATCACAGGTATAAACGTGACGATCGCAGTGATCTGCGTCCGTTCAGCTGCATGTCTCCACCGCTCTGACGCTCCCTCAGTGCTGCCAGGTGTGTGTGTGTGTGTGTGTGTTTCTATCCACTGCAGTGAGGACGTTGCTTGTACCTTGTAACCGCACAACGATGGGGATCTTGAGGTCCAGGTCTCTCACGGCCATGATGATGCCCTGGGCGATGACATCACACCTCATGATGCCTCCGAAGATGTTGACCAGGATGGCCTGAACCTGAGCGACAGCGGGAAGCCGTTAAAAACCACCATGAAAACAAACCCCTGACATTTACATCTGCAGATGTAGAGGAAGCGCTCTTACCTTCCTGTCAGAGGTGATGAGTTTGAACGCCTCGGTCACCTGGTGGGCCGTGGCTCCTCCTCCCACATCCAGGAAGTTGGCCGGAGTGCCGCCATGCAGCTTGATGATGTCCATGGTGGCCATGGCCAGACCCGCTCCGTTCACTAGAGAGAAAACAAGACGTCTTACAGTCACAAACCTTCTCCTTCACCTCCGTCACACTGCAGCTGCTGTGATAATATTCTCCACTGCAGCTCCAACCTCAAACACAGAGAAGCGCGAGGAAGTTCATCTTTAAAATAAAAACCAACTCGCTGCGGCGCACTGACCCAGGCAGCCGATGGTTCCGTCCAGGCCGATGTAGTTGAGGTCGGCCCTGGCGGCCTGGCGGTCCCGGGGGTCCTCCTGGGTCCAGTCCTGCAGGTCGAACACCTTCTGCTGGCGGTACGCGGCGTTAGAGTCGAAGTTGATCTTGGCGTCCATGCACATCACTGTTGACGAGCAAACACACGAGAGTTTGGCATTAGAGGGAAGATTAACTTCCTGTGTCCTTCGTCACAAGAAGCTGAGCAGTTTTTAAATGTCATGGAAGCTGCTGTGTATCTAACCTGTGTGATTATTAATGACTCGTGTTTAAAATCACACGATGTTAAAGCTGCACAATAATAAGAGCTTATTATTCTGTGGCGTCACTGAGCCTCAGCTGCTCATTATTAAAGGCTGTTTCACAAGCTCATATACAGCTGTGTGTGTTTAGAAACATCTGTGCACACCCCTCTGTAACCTTTAAGTATTTGGTTTTATTCAGAATTGTTGTTATTGTCAAGAAATCGCAGTTACAAGCTAACAAACAACATAAAGAAATAAAAGATGCTAACTGCGCTAACGGTTCTGACCCGTCTGAGTCTGGGTCTGACTGAGGCTCAAACATGAGGCTGAGTCTCTCTGATGTTTCCTCCTCTCACCATCTTGATGCTCTCTGCTCACCTGTCCACCTGGAGCCAGCAGGTGGTGGGCGGGGCTCAAGGCCTGATCCAGGAAGTAAGAGTAGATGAGCTTCAGACCCAGTTTTTATGAGTAAAACATGTTGAACTAAATAAGAATCACAGCAGAGGATTTATTTATAGAAGTTATGTTTTGATGAGGAGACGCCGCATTGTCCCACACACCATGTCTCAACACGCCAGCTGAGTGTGCGCCCGTAAATTCTGACCGGGCTGCACAGTTTGCATCAGTGGTTATTGGTTCCATGTTGGATCTTGTAGTTTTGTTACAGTGGGATCAATATAGACGTTTCAAAGTGAGACTGAAGTTACTGCAACGTGATGAAAGTTAACTTCATAATCAAAGACTCTTTAAGGTGTGTGTGTGTGTGTGTGTGTGTGTGTGTGTGTGTGTGTGTGTGTGTGTACCAATGCCAGAGGAGTCCTCCACCATGGGGTTGATCTCGACCATGGAGGCGTCGTACTTGATGAACACGTTGTACAGTTTGATCATGTTCTCCGCCGCCTCGTTCACCAGCGCCGGCGGGAAGCCCATCTTCTTAGCGACCTGCAGCAGCACAGCACATTTCATCACACGTCAGACGGGCGGTTGGATAAACACTGATATGATCAATACATTGGATCCAATCACTGTGTGACGTGACGGGAGTCTGTGGTTGTGATGAACCTTCAGAGAAAGAGAATAAAAAAATACTGAAAAACTAGAACCACCTCCTCGTGGTCGTATCCCTCCGCCACGCAGACTAGTTCCAGGTCACATCCCTGTTTGTCCAGAGTCAGAGAACATATGAATTGTTTGTGTGAAGTCTTGAATAATGGCTAAAAAGTGTTTTATGAGGTCACCGTGACCTTGACCTTTGACCTTTGACCACCAAAATGTAACCGGTTCATCCTTGAGTCCAGGTGAATGTTTGTGCTAAATTTCAACAAGTTCCGTCAAGGCGTTACTGAGATATCGTGTCCACTAGAAAGGGACGGACGGACGACCTGAATACGATATGAATATGTCTCTGACTGTCGCCGCCGCGGAGGAATAAAAAGCAGAAGAAGAAGAAGAAACAGGTTCAGTGGAAACACAGAGAACCTGCTGCTTTTAATGAACCTCGCTCAGTTTTACAAACGTGGTCTCAGCGGACAGAAATAAACAAACAGTGAAGGAACATCAACGGACCTCCGTCTAACCTGGAGAGCCCGGCGATCAGCACCTCTCGTCTCCGTCAGATATATCGAGCCCCCGCTCTCACTATGACAACCAACACATTCAATACCCAGCGCCCAGAGGCGGCCACTGAGATAACGCTCTCACTCAGAGGGGAGAGCGAGGAAGGAATGTGTTTACAACCAGATTCAGAGAGTTCGTTCATTGTTAGAAAATAAAATCAGTTCACGTTAAAAACGCAGCAGAGCAGCTTTAATCTCATCGTTTCTGACTCGTTGCTTCTGTTTCTACAAATAAACGCTTCATCCCGGCATGAATCAGGTTCGTTTTGGAGCATCTTGCATCACTTCCTACGACTGTTGTTTTAGAGCAGCACAGACAAACCCTGCAGGGCTGTAGCACAGCGTTTCTGGACTTTCTGAGAAATATGCACAAAGACCTGAGGAGCTGTGAAAGGTCAGGACGCTCCGCACAACAGGAAGTGATCCCAGACCCCCGAAACCCGTCTCAACAATCATTTACTTTTAAAACACGATCAGCTGGAGTTCAGAGACCGGCTGCTGGATTTAGGTGATGATTTTTCTCAGTGGAAACAACAGCTCTGACTCTGTGTTACTGCCTGTTCGGCTGCACCGACGTCGTCCTGCCACACTCACATTTTCTGCTCTTATTTTGATATTATTGCTATTATTGCTGTTCATTTTATCATTTATAATTTGAATCACTTTGGTTTCTCACCACTGTTAATTTGTCATGTTACTTTCTTGTACGTTCATTTTGTATTTTTATAATTTTGTGATATTTCAACATTACTGAGGTGGAGGCTTTAAATAAGAATATTTGTTATCTTTGTTGTTTTCTGTGTATTTTCAATTGTGCAAGAATAAATCAAACTAAAAAAAATAACTTGAGACTTCACAGCAACTATGATAAAATTTCACACTAATGTTTAATATGTTCTCTGACTCTTGATAAACAGGGATGTGACCTGGAACTGGTCTGAGTGGCGGAGGGATACGACCACGAGGAGGTGGTTCTAGTTTTCTTCAATGAGGAATTGTCTTTGTCTGATAAAGAGACACTGTGGGTGAAGTGCAGAGATCGACAGAGAAGCCTGGGTGACATTTCTTTATGTATTTCTGCTCTTGTTGATGATATATAATCACGTCTCTGTCGCTCATCCGTCGGCGTGATTTTGGAGATTTGCGTCTGAAAACACAGAATGTCTGTTTGTTGTCAGATCATCCTCCTGAACCAGGGGGACACTTTACTCTGAGGATTTGTGTGTTTGTAATAAACATCAGACGGGAAAAAGAAAAACAGAATCATTATTTACAAAGGAACTGTTAATGTCACACTCAGGTTGTTTATGAATCTGAACAGGACGGAGGGCTGGAGTCCGCTGAGAGGAACTTACAAAGAAGTTTTCCTCCTGAGACGTAAAATACCACTACCCAGAATCCCTCTCTCCTCTTCTCTGATTACCAAACCACACACCTGGAACATCTATTACCACTATTGATCCTACCTTGACCGCCTGCTCCATCTTGATGCCCTCCACGATGTCGATGGGCTCCTTCACAATGGCGTCTGGATTTTCTGCAGCGACGTCTTCGATGTTCACGCCCCCCTGCGAGCTGCCAATCAGGACGGGGCCCTGCGGGGCGAAGGAGCGGCGGGTGAGGTCTGAACAGTTTCAATTAGACAATCTGAGACACTTGGTTTGAGCTTCAGATGTTTGTTTGAGTCGGGCGCGTCGTTCGCGGTGAGATGGTGAAATCAGCACGTGAATTCTGTTTAGTCCGACTTTGACTTCAAAAAAAGAAAAACGTGTTTGGAAGAGTTCTTCTCTGAAATGCTGTTTGAAAGTCAAATGCAGACTTTCAGAAAGAAGATGCAAGTTTCTACAGAGTCGACACATTAAATCAGCTTTACAGTCTTTTCCCGTCACATCAGCTGATTAAAGTCTCGTCAGCAGGACTCGCTGTCTCTAAAAACACTCCTTCATTTGTATTTAACGTCTCCTCTTCATGAGGTACGGCTATAAAAACCCAACAGCTCAGACACAGATTCTACCTTTCCAAACTTTATAATGTTCAGTTTTAATTGTCACTGTCAGAGGTCAGAGGTTAACGTCTGAACTTAACATTATGATCCTCCTACACGTACAATTTGTGGCAGAGCTGTTGAACTGGGTTGTATTAAATGCACAGGTGTGCCTAATAAAGTGACCACAGTGTATGAATCAGTGATTTTAGACCAATGTAACCTGAGCAGGAACAGACAGGTCGTCTGCTGCCATCTGGTGGTAGAATTCAGCATAACCAGGTGCAATCTCTGCACGACTCTCTGCCGAGGAACGACGAGTTCAACAGATCCAGGATAAGTTTAGTTCACCTGTCGGGCTGCGAGCGCGTTCATGTGAAGGAGGCGGAGCTGTTCATTATAAGCAACGTCGTCAGAAGCATGAATAAAGTTCTTTATATGACACGAGAAGAAACGCTGATCGCCGCCGGTAAATTTGATTATAGCGACATTCAGCAGTGACGCTCAACAAGGGGAAATGTGAACAATATGATCACATGACTGGAATAAAAAAGAAAGAGCAGAAATATTTTCTAATTGTTAGAGTCAGACTGCAGATACACTGTGAACAAGTGCATGAATGATTAACTTTCTTACTGAGTATTTTCTCTGTTTTTAATGATGAACAAACTACGATGAACGTGTGATGCAGGTCAAAGTTCATGTCAGGAAACAGAAGTCATTCTAGTTTTTATATTAATATATTATATTTTCTATATTCAATATTAGAAACTGGAACTAGATCATTTGTAGTATTTTTTACTTAATAATTGATTAATCAATTAGGAAAACTGTCGCTCAGTGAATCAATTCAAACTCCTACTGACCCACACGGGAAACACAGCTACAACTGCAACTAAAGTCCAAAACTCTAAACCTGCTTTTACAACTGATCAGAATGATTTATTTCATGACACTACTCGATTGATCGATTGTGTGTGTGTGTGTGTTGCCTCACCTGGTAGGACCTCTCCATGGTGATGGCGAAGTAGTACTCTCTACGTGGATACCTGCGCTCGCAGATGAACACCTGGTTGCAGATACGTCCCGCCTCCCCGGTCTGCTTGGTGTAGAGCTTTCGGCCAATCATCTGGGACGAAATGTCACGGGCCTCCTCTGGACTGGAGAGGAAGAGGAGGAGGAGTGTTTCACAATCACATCACCCAAATCAGCTGCAGCTAATTATTACTTTCATTATTGATACAGCGTTTTCTCAACTGATTGATTAATTGTTTTAGACAGGAAGCAGAAAATGAATGAATGGATTAATAAATTAAAAACAAATTTCTTTAAGGTCATCTGTGACTGTGGTCGTTCTGTCGTCGGTGGATCAGCTGTGATGAAGAGTGAGGAGCTGATGATGAAGAGCTGCGGCTCCTCATCTTCAGCTCCGGCTCCTTTCACTGTGTCCAGCTGTTGTGTTAAAACATCTGGCTGTGAGGTTGGAAACAGCTTCATCTGCTCGGTGGATTTCTGACAGAGCCGCTGCTAAACTGAACCACACGGCTGTGTTACCATGGTAACCGCAGGTGTCATCACGAGATATAAAAGGATCATAACTTTAATACTCAGCAGATTATTTACGGATGTTGGTCAGTGTTAAGATGTTTGATGACTCACGAGTAGACGATCCTCACTCCTCCCTTCAGGCCGCCCTCGAACGTCCCCTTCCCTCTGCCCCCGGCCAGGACCTGAGCTTTCACCACCAGGTCCTTTGAGCCTGAGACACACACACACACACACACACACACACACACACACACACACACACACACACACACACACACACACGTTTCTGTCAGTAAAACACTGTGTATTAACTGTGAAAGGGACTGTGCTGATGTCCTGTGCTTCAGACGGTCGGTCAGGTGACACATACTGAGCAGATGTGATGTAGATCTAAGTCCTGATCGAACAGCTGAGGATCTGAGGAGGATTTAAAGGTGCGTCAGGTCAGGGTCAGAGAACGGTGTCACCTGTCACAGGATTTATGGTCCAACTTCTTTGGAATTATGTAAGTCAAGAGTCAACTGATACCACTGAAGCAGGAGGAGTCTATGTTTAGACTGTGTGAATATGTGTCTGTCTACACACTGGAGCCTTGGCTTCAGCTATTTAAAACCGACACACACACACGTCCTTGAACACAACTGAACTGTATCAGTAACACTGGGGTTGTCAGGTCAGACTCAGGACTCTTTGAGTATCTTTTAGTTTACTTCCTCTTTGACAGAAACTGTTTCAAATTAAACTTCTTTTATTCACTCCATTCTTCTGGCTCATCCTTCCTGAAAACAAGAATCTTTAGGTTCAGGAGAGACGAGTTTCTCTGAGGCTCGCTGCAGCTCACCGATCTGCTTGGCCACGGCGTACGCCTCGTCCGAGGAGCTGGCCACCATGCCGGCGGGCACGGAGATGCCGGCCTCTTTCAGCAGCCCGATGCTCATGTACTCGTGTAGGGAGAGGTTCCTCTGCTGCTGCTGCAGGTGAGGGGGCTGCAGCTGGGACGCATGGCCTCCAAACAGACCTGAAGACCCACCGAGGACCTGGAGGTAGAGGGGGGGGGGGACATGTTAAATCAGTGTGCTTTACACAGTGTTGACCAGTTGAGCAGCTGAAGAGGAACTGGCCGGACACACTGACGCTTTATTCACATGTTCGATCCCGGACGTGACGACATGGAAAACCACAGATTTGTTTTAAAACAGGATTTTTGAGTTTCTGTCTCGTCTTCATTAGAACTGAAAGAGAATAAACTGTCTGTAGTCATGACGACAGTGTGACGTTCACACCTGTTGTTTTTTAGTAAAACATCTCGCCAGCTCTCAGATGAAAAGCTCCACCATCAGCACCACCGTGCCTAATGCTGCGTTCACATCACCTCAGTTACTGTAACTATGAGTTTATCACATGTAAATAGCGTCTCATTAATATCAAATTATTTATATTTAATAAATATCATTTTTATATTCCCAACAATGTACGATGAGAAAGACGATATAAATAAGATGTGTTGTTAAATTTATTTAATTTTTTTTTTTTTACTAGACACCTTCTGCAATTATCATTTTTCCATTTTTTCTCTCTTATTTTTTAAATTTTTTTGTTTTTTCGTTCCTCTGTTTTGTGTTTGTGAAAAATGAATTAACAACATCTGTATCAGTCTGAGACTTCACATATCCACCTGTCATTAACACACACTCACACACACCAGAGGAGGAGTGTCTACAGTCAGCAGGAGAACACAACAGTGGAAACTTGACTAAGGATGTGAAACCAGGACAAAGTGGCTCCAGTGTTTCCCAACAGCTCGAACACTCGGCTGGACTCAGACACAGGTAAATACCTCAGTGTGGGGAAACTACAGAGGAGGGTGATGCTGGTGTTGTGTATCTGCTGCGTCAGTGTTGATACAACAGACTGCTGCTGCTGCACCACCTCACACTCATTAACAGAGTTACAGGAGGGCAGGTCTTCTGCACACAGCTGTTTGTAGAGCTGCAACTGTTAGTCGACGGACAGGCCGACGATTAAACTGCTGATTATTTTTGTCAGTTAAGTCGACTCATCATTGAACAATAAACTGTAAAAAAAAAAAAGAAAAAAAAAAAAGAAAAGAAAAAGAAAGAAAGAAAGAAAAAGCCCATTGCAATGTCGTTAATTCAGTTTACGCATCTTCTTCATCCTGGACCTGAAGAACGTTTGGAATTTTCTCATTCGCTAGAAAAATGATTAAAACAGTTCATCAATTATCAGAATATTTGCTGATCATTTTCCCTGTTTACTGACATTTAATGGACCAAAAGACTAACTGATTAAATCGAGAAAATAATTAACTAATCGATGATGAAAATAATCACTGGTTGTATTTATTTTATCTGATCCTCTGACACTGAGAGCAGATAAAGTTAAGCAGGGATTAGGGATTAACCAAATTGCTTTTTATTGATTCCTAATTATTGATCCTGAAAGAGAAGAATGAGTCTCTTCTTCATCTCATGCAGCACACTGTGGTTTTTGTCCCTCAGCTTGTTGTTGTTGACAGCTGCAGTAAACACCAGTCAACAGTCTGTTCAAACAGCCTAAATATAAACTGAGAACACACATGCGCATTTTTGAGCAGGTCATGTGACTGGACACAAAAACGTCCAGCAGATTAAAAGGAGCAAAGTAACCTACGGTGTTAATTGGTTTACAGCTGGTTGAACCAGCTGTGTGCAGCTGCTGCAGCTCCAAGTTTCTGTGGTGAAAATATCAAGAGCTCTGATGCTTCATTCATCAAAACGATGATGAATGTGTTTTTAAGTTATTAACATTATTTGTCACAAACAATGACTCAAGGATTTCTTGCTTTGTTGGTGTGGAATCCGATTTAAAAACATGAATTAAAAACAACTTTTCACCCAACTATATAAAACATTTAACGTATTTTATCGGCCTGTTACACAAAAACACAAAAACAAACCTATTTGATGCAAAACTGGATTGATGATGTTTATATCTGATTTACTGAACCTCATGAAAACAAGCATTAACTAATAAAAGTGTGGAAAATGTTTAGTTTGATCATGAATCTTTTATATCAGATCTCTTCACTGAATCACCAGCATCACGACATAAACAAGGTTTCTGCAGGTTCAGTTTCTATTTCACACTCACACCAGCCAGAGTATGAAAGTATCATAGAAAACCAGCAAACCTCAAAGTATTTATTTTCATATCCCATTTTTCAATAGTTCCTGTCAGTATGTAATAATAATACAATTCATTAATTATGTATTTACTTTACACAAATTAACTGCGCCACTTTTTCAGGGCAGCCTGGACACGACAGTGACGAGATGGGCTAATGCTAACGTTGGCTATGTAGCAGAAGCAAAACTTACAAACAGCTCCTTTAAGGAAACTGGATTAAATAATAAAATAGCAGGTGAGACTGTTGCCTTGTTTCCCTCCAGCTCTGTCAGTCCTAGGTGACTGCTGTTGTGTTAAAACATCTGGCTGTGTGCGCAGCGTGAAGTCAGACGGGGGTTGTGATGAGCATTGAGTTTGTCTGGCTGCACTGTAAAAACAAGGTAAAAAAACAAGCAGCAGATACCAACGTCCAATGGAGACAGAAGTCCAGACAAAACAACAGTCAGAACATTTCCTTGTTGCTGAAACACATCAGGTCAATGAGACTCTGAAAAAACAGAAACCAGGAAGGTCATTGACAGGAAGTCCCTTTGTCATGACCAAGCATCTCCTGCACTTCCCTTTACAACAACCTGAATGCATCGTGTTCATGTTCCAGGAATTATTCCATTTGGCTATGAATCCATATCAGAAAAACAACAATAAAAATAATGCACATGGAATTACAGTTACTATCTGTATTATCTGTGTGCTGCAGTGGAGCTTTGTTTACCTGATCACAGATTAAAGCAGCAGCAGATTGGAGGCTACAGGTTTTAGTACTTGTTAGTACTCCAGTGGTTTGTACTGAATAAGCCCCTCTCTCTTTCTTAGAATATGAAGTGAATTGTATATTAATTATATTTATTTTAATTGTAACTAAAATATTGATTACATTGTGTGAATAAAATAAAAACGACAATGGAGGTACTTTTGTAACCTGAGTACAATCTGCAGGTTTTCCTTTCAGGTTGCATACAGCCAGAAGCCTGAGAGGCGAAACCCAGGGCAGAAAAAAAACCTGAAGACATTTGCTGCATCACCTGTTGCTGCTCATTAGGCTCACTGTAAAAAAATACTGCATTACAAGTAAAAGTGCTGCAGTGACAATGTCACTTCAACAAATGTCAAGAAAATATTCAAAATAAAAGTCTCCTGGCACCGTTAGACTATTACCTATTCAAAATAAAAGTCTCATGTCACTGTTAGACTTATCTATTCAAAATAAAAGTCTCATGTCACTGTTAGACTATTATCTATTCAAAATAAAAGTCTCATGTCACTGTTGGACTATTACCTACCATATCATTAGATTATTATTACTGGTGCATTCAAGTGTAAGGAGCATTTAACTGCTGTAGTTGGTTAAGTAGCTCCTTATTAAATATTTTATATACAGTAACTAATGATGATTTTCAGAATGGATTAATCTCTTGATCATTTCCTCTATTAACTGATTGATTGATTGATTGATTGATTGATTGATTGATTGATTGATTGATTGATTGATTGATTGATACAAATTCAGAAAACAGTGAGAGAAATGCTCAATATCACAAATTATTTAAACAATAATTAAAATAGTCAGTTGAGAGATTATTTCAGCTATACTTTATATACTGCTGAGTATTTAACATTTGACAAAGTATCTTATTTTATAAGCTCTTCATGCATACTCCTCATAAAGTGTAAAGTCTACATATATTCTACATATTTCATATTAGAATATGTAAAGTTGTTTACTTGATGTTCATTATTACAGGGAATAAACAATTTTCTGTTTAATACTGCCATGATCAAGAGCTTTAAATCTGACTGTTACTCATTTGTACTTATTTCTCAAATGTCCCCACTTCTCTGAATCTGTGCCCCCCCCACTAAATCCGCCCCTGACAATAATCAATCATATATGTTCACTGAACTTACATTAATGTACAGTGTAGTAAAGTATCCGACTGCCATTGTACAGTGTATAGTGTAGCTATGGATCTTTAGGCTCTACTTTTTTCCATTAATTATAATACTTTGTTGGTGTATTTAGTTATTGTTTAGAAATTAGCCTTTAACCATGTTATCTATCTATCTATCTATCTATCTATCTATCTATCATTACAGCTTGTGTGACAGTATCTGAGTCTACCAGCAGCAGACTCATGGTTTTCCACCTGCTGTGACTTGCACATACTTGAAGGGTAATGACACATTTTCAGCTCCGGAGCAGAGCAACATGTCTGCGGACACATCCCTGCTGCGTTCACGGCCTGTCTCTGCAGTGAGAGCTGGGGTCTGTCTCCCCGTGGTTTAGCGGGGTTTGCCTTGGTAACACGGCGGGACAGACGCGATGGCGCAGAGCTCAGGGTGGAGGTCACTGTGCTGCACCTACCCTCGTCCACTGCTATCACACTCAGGCCCTAACACACCCTTTAAATCAACACACAGGTGTGACCGGGAACACTGAGGCTGAGTGGACCGTGTGGACGCCCGCGGCTGTTTGAGCTGCGTCACTCCGGCTCAGCAGCACTGTCAACCGGCCACGCTAGCGCTAGGTCCCCGCTACTTAGCATGTTAGCCAAAACAATCGGAAATTCAATGAATGTCAAATTTGACCCTGTCACTTTCTCTTACACTGTGGCCGTCTAGAGAAGGAGCAGCGCGGCAACAGACACCTGCTCCGAGAGCCGGAGACCTTCGCTTCAACCTGGACTCACACTCACCTTAGAAGCGGAGCTGATCGTGTTCCTGGCCCCTGAATTTCTCAGGCTGGCCGTCAAACGGCCGCAGATCAGGGACGTCGCCATGTCTCCCTCTAGAGCGAAGTAACTACTGCGCATGCGTCGTGAACTGCAAAGTCGGGTTCCCCTCCTGCTGCCTTCAGACGCTGTCGGAAATTATAGAATCATTTCAAAATAAAGGTTCTAAACATACAGTGGACTGTAGGTTCAAAGTAGACCAGAAAACATGTCTGGGAAATAATGCAGCTAGTGGAAAGTAATTAAGTACATGTACTTGAGTACAGTTTTGAAGTACTTGTACTTTGAGTACTTGAGTATTTCCATTTTCTGCTTCTTTATACTTCTATTCCACCACAGTCCAGAGGAATATATTGTACTTAATTATTTACCAGTTACTTTTAAATTATTATTCAATATTAAGAAACATGATAATGTTTTAAAATGCCACATAAAACCAGTTCCAAAAAACAGTTTTGACTGAAAGAGGTCAAAGTGTCAAATATTTCTCAAAAAACTAAGATTAGGGAAAAAGGGCACAAAAAAGAAACAAAATTGTGTTTCATGACTTTCCACTCCCATTCATCCTCTCATGACCCCTCAGATTTATAAAGTGACCCACTGGAGGGGCCCAACCAAAGTATTTGTATATAAAGTAGTTAAAAGCAGCTCCACCTGGAGCAGCCACAACAGTAAAATGCTGCTGGAGCTTTGATGTATTAATATTAACAACCTAATAACATCATATATGATCATTTATCAGTGACAGGAACCAAGTACTTTTGATACATTAACTACATTTTGTTGATAATACTTATGTATTGTAAAATTTGGAATGCAGGAGTATTTCCATATTGTATTGATACTTCTTCTTCCACTGTTGAGATATGATGTTTAACATGAAGCGAAAACTCAGTTGTTTCTAGATATGTGTTGTAAAATAAGACAACCACTACTGGCAAATTAATTATATAAAATCTCTGATAAATGCCAGATGAGTGCGCGTTCATAACATCTCTGTCACATGGTTTTAGAACTAAAACATACACTAAACCCATACTGCTAAAGTTAGGCTCTTTCCTTTTAATACATGCTAGATATTCATGACAATCACTGACAGTGGGAGTTTACGAAAAGACCCTGAACGCAGAACTGACAAGGCCCTGACCATAGACTGTATATAAAATTGGACGTCGACTTCGGCCTGGAAAATGAAGCCAATGCGGAAGTGCCTTAAACTTGCACTCTATCGAATGACCGTTATGGCAACTCCACTGGTTGCAAAAATAAGTCCGATTGTATTGAAGTCTATGGGGAAATTACCCTACTTGTCAATTGAGTTGTTACCTCAGTAAACGTTTTCGTTATGTGTTTATGGTCTGAATCGCTAGTTTGAAGTTTTATTCAATACAATATGATGTTAATTTTTTCAAAACATGGTCCTATTTTAAAGAAAATAGACGTTAAAGCAGAGTGGTGGTTTTACGGCGTTGCTACTGCGTGATTAACACACAAGGGAACATGTTTGCCTGAACATTTCTTGTTCGGCGTTCAGTTGTTCTCAAAGACACTCAGAGGAGTCGGCGGTTCATTTTTTTTCCGGTAAGTACATTTTGTTTAAGCCTATTTCTTTGCTAGCCAAAATTAGCATCCCTGTTAATATCACAGTTCAGGTGAAGATGCACCTTGCTAACCAAGCTAGCCAGCTAGTGCTAGCGTTAGCTGTTAATTTAGCGATTGCTATGCTAACGGTACCTGGCCCCGCTGGGCTGATAACCTGTGTCAACCTGGGTTAGCCCGTGGAGGTGTTCAGTCAAAGCCCAATAAAAAGGTGAATTTAATCGACGTTAATCTAACGACGTTTGGTTTGTGTTTCTCCACATGTGACCCAGTTTAAGTGATCTGCGTTAGTGTAATGCGCAGCGTTAATGTTGGTTAATACATTGTCCATCCAGACTTCGTGATAGTTCAAGTTAAGATAACGTGACGTATACAAAATGTGCAGAAAAATATTTGTCATATAGAAGATTGTTCATTTAATACTCAAACCAGTCCTCAACTGAAGCAGACATTCTCCATAAAAACCATCAACAAAGCAAAGCTTCATAAGAAACTTTATTTCACATTAAAACTACATTAATTTCTTTAATTATTTAAAACTAGAATACAGTTGTGAATGAAGGTGCAGGTGAACTTCACTGACACAAGACAAGTCTGCATAATAAAGAGGTGGATAAATCTTATTTAGTAACAAGTATAAATTATAGTAGAGATGTAAAATAATGCTTCATAGCTCAGTGAGGAAAGAGCAACAGTCTGACAGCTTGACTGGAAGCTGTTGCAGCCGTCCATAAGTGATGGAGGGAAGGTGCAAAAAGTCCAGGAGCCGTTATTCATCATCAGTCTTAGTGTTAGAATACGTTAGGTAGAAAACGTTGTTACTCCTCACATACATGATATTAGCCTGTAAGACTAATGTAACAGTTGTGACAGCTAACAGTGTTAGCAGCATCTTCACACGGCTCAGCCAAGAGCCTGTTGCTGTCAGGTTGTCGATGCGGGTGGGTTTACTTGGTGTCCTCGAGGACACAGGTCAGATCCACCCCTCCCTCCTCCCCAGCTCCACCCTCTCATCCAAATATGGTTTCTTCTGGCTCCAAAAAAAAAGATGGCGACGTCCATTAAGCGAAAACTCGAGGCTTCAAAACGGCAGTTCACAAACCAATGGGTGACGTCACGGCAGTTCGCCACTTGGCCCTGACACTGTAAATATAGTCTGCTTCTGGCCTTTAACCTACATTAACACAATCAGCAGGGGTGGAGGAGCCATTAAGATCCTTCACTGAAGTAAAAGTATCAACACAGCAAAGTAAAAGTAGTCAAATAGTACTATCTGCAAAATCCACCTAAAGTATCAAAAGGAAAAGTACCAGTGGCTGATAATAAGTCTTTTCTAAAACTATTAACACCTCACAAATATCTGTCTGAAACTGAAGAAAAGATATAAAAAGATATAAGATATTTGATATTATGATATTGAGATATTTGAGAGATGAGATATATTGAGAGATGAGATTATGAGAATATATATGAGAATGTTGTTAATTGAAATCTGAATCTTAAAAGTAACTAATAAATAAAGCTCAGATCAGTGTAAAGCAGTAAAAAGTACAGGAGTATTTCCCTCTGACATTTAGTGGAGTTGAAGTATAAAGTGTCATAGAATGGAAATATTCCAGTAAATGTACTACCGATCAATACTGTGTAATACTTGGGAATTATTAGAGTTAATCCATCTAAAGATACTGAACTCATACTTGTAGAGTAGGTTTCACTCTGATCCAAGTGTAACACAAAGCGCCAGACTACAGGCCCCTCATAACCACAGACAACACAATTTCTATTCAAAAAAGTCTTTATTTACACAGGTGATTATGTACAAGCTTATTTACACAGAGGTAAATTAACAGCATCTGTCCTGCACTAAGATCGCGATCATTTGTCTGTCTGTCTCTCACACACACACGAGTAGGAGTCTTGGTTGGTTCGGTTTCTCTTTCTACCCTAGTCGGTGGTTTTTAGAACAGTAGTAGACTCACTGTGTGTCGATGGAGACGTCAACAACACAACTTCATCTGTGTTAGTTTTTGCTTTTGTTTAATTTGTTGTCATTTGCAGTTTGTTTAAACTGCCTCAAACTGAAGCAAACACAGGCTCTGAAAAGGAAGAGTTCAACTTTTTGGGAAAAATTTAATCCTTTTCTTGCTTAGAAAGATTCCTTCCATTATCATGTCTGTAAATATGAAGCCACAGCCAACAGCTGGTTAGCTTAGCTTAGCATAAAGACTGGAAACAAAGCTAGCCTGGTTCTGTCAAAAGGTTGGAGAAAAACAAACAAACAAAAAAACCCAGCTACCAGCTCCACTAAAGTTCACTGATTAACATGTTACATCTCATTTGTTACAAGCTAGGTTAATGTGCCTTAAATGAAGCTGTTAATCAGCTGTAGAGGTGCTGGTACGTAGGTTTTCATACTTTTGTGGAGCTGAAACAAACTGTTTATTAGTAATTGACAGAAAATGAATCAGAAAATATTTTAACATTTGTCATTTTTTTAACATTGACTGGTTCCAGCTTCTCAGACGGTCTTTTCTCTTTTTTTTTTTTTTTTACTCTTTTACAATTCGTTTAGAGATCAAAATAGAGATCAAATAACTGACAGATTAAGTAAGTCTTTATGCTAAGCTAACTGGCTGCAGCTTCATATTCACTGTACAGATATGACAGTGGTGTCAGTTTCCTCACCTGACTCTAAATAAGCAGATTTACCAAAATGTGGAACTGTTCCTTTAAAAACTTAAGATGGATCCCTGAGACACTGACTCCCTCCCTCCTTCAAACACCAGCAGTAGAAACTCCAGAGGTCTGTTCTGAGCCGCGAAGATACGACCCTGAACGTCACAGAGGGAACACACAGGCTCACCGACAACCCTTCACTCACAGTTTAAAACCTTTAACATCCACCCGGGTCCTTCAGCTCACAGAGACTCACAGCACACAATCTGTTTGTCCACAACATGATGAAACAACTGTCCTCAGTTATTATATGTATCATACATTATTAAACACCCACGACAAGAGATGTTAAAACTGAACTTTGGGAAAGAGCCCACGTGGAGAACTAGATGCTATTCTTACAAACTGACTCATTCTACACAATTTAAATAATGCTGGTACTTTTGTAATAAAGGATGGTGGAAGCACAGACCTCAGCTGACATAATGACGGAGTGCCGCCGGTATATTCCACTTTAAATGAATGAGCTCCTCCATGACTGAGAAGCAGAGGCAGCAGATTGAATCAGCCTCTGTACAGGAAGTTTTATCTACAGACAGTCATGTAGAGGATGGTGTGATGTTTGAGTCTTAAATTGGGTTAAATTCAAATAACCAAAAGGTGAAGATATTTGATTGGATGTTGCTCAGTGGTGAGCTCTCTCTCTCTCTCACACACACACACACACACGAATACACACACTCTGTCCTTGTTCTTCAGTCGGAATCGCTGCTGCTGCTGGAGGAATCGGTCGACATGGCCTCCACGTCGTCCTCGTTCTCCTTGTTGTGACCCGGAGGCTCCAGGCCGAAGTCGTTGCCGTGGTGAGGAGGCAGCATCCCCACCGAGACGTCCGACGACTGCCAGGGGTAGTGAGGCGTCAGGACGTCTGAGGAGACAGAGAAGAAGAGGTGGTGGTTATTCTGTTAGCGAGGAGGCAGCTGGGCAGAGATCTGATTATCTTATTGGTGACGGACTTCTAACGAGGAGGAGGAGGAGTGTGGAGAAAAGTAATTAGTCATGAGATGATTGTGAGGGATTGAATGAACACAAATTTAAATTTTTGTGTACTGTCCGTTTCAACGTGTTAATATTTGCATCTGTAAATATTCTCTCCTGAGGTGGTGGCGGTTAATAATGTGGAGGGATGGTGAAATGAACACATGGACACTATTTTAATGTTTATTCTACTGGACACTTTTTGTTTGTGTGGAGTTGATATATTTGTTGCTTGTTTTTCTTTTCTTCTCTGATTAATGCTGGTTGGAGAAAGTTGTGTTTTCATATTGTGGAATGATGAAAAGTTATAAAACCTGAGTCATTAAAAAAAAATGGCTGAAAGCGATGCACACAACAAAGAGGAGGAGGAGTGTTTCTTGCTTCACAGATTGTAAAACCCACTGACAAATTTATGATTTGAGATAATCAATAAAATCCGCCTGACTTGACGTCTGGCCTGATTTAAAAATCATACATGGGCCTTTGATTAAAAGTTGCCTCAGCCTTCAGGTGGACTTACCTGGCAACCTTCCAGCAGCCAGAGCGTCTCCCGGCAGGTGTCCGTTCACACCGTTGGTCGGCAGGTTGGCCATGTGACCCAGCATGCCGCTGCGCATTTCCAGGTCCGTGGGGTAGGGTCGGCGTGGATCACCTGAGACACACATCAGTGTTAACAGTTAGTGAAGTGCAACACGACCTCCTCGGACAACCAGCAGTGACGGTGTGTGGGTCCTACCTGGCACCCAGTTGAGAGGAGCACACACAGCGTTACTGGCGCTGATCCTGTGAGCGTATTTGATGATTTCTTCTGATGAGATGCTTCCTGCACAGAACGAGTTAACAACTGGAGTTAGAGGACAAACAGTCAGACACGAGACGAGAGTCAACAACCTCAGAGACAGGTGTGTTAACTCACCTTTCCTGGCTTTGTCAATGGATTTGAGTTTCTCTTTGGCCTGGTAAACAGCAGTGGCCTTAAGGAGAGACAGAGGAGGAGCCAGTTTAGAATCTGTGATGATCTGTGTCAAACATACTGAGGTTTCACTGGTCAACATAAAACATCTGTACATGTAAACGTCTGCTCAGTAACATCACACCAACACTGGACCAGAGCAGGGCTGAGCGATAATGTATGGATGTTTTTAATACCATTAATGAAGAAGGAAACATACTCATCATGTTTGTTAAAACCTCAGGGATTCACTCAATGTGTTAAGATGAATAAAACTGAACGTGATCACTGTTTACAAGAAAACAGGGTTGTTTTTAATTTGAAAATCGTTTCATCTCTCGGCTGTTTATCCAGCTTTAAAACTTTAAACCCTTTCCTAATCACCTCTTTCTTCATCATCTTTTCGGACGTCTGACTCTCTTCACAGTGTCTTGTTTTTGCCTCCTTGTTTTGGTCCTTCGTGTCTCAGCTATGTAACCTAAATGCTGCAGCCATCGTTACTGTGGGTATTTTTCCCATAATAACTATATAGATTGTTTTATCACCCAGCCTTAGACCAGAGGGCATCCGCTTCATTCTTTTAATGTTCAACAGAACCGAGCTGACTCAGTGATTGTTTAGTAAAGTGGACCGGGAGACCGCAGGCCCCTCAGCACAGACCAGCACCACCCACCAGGATGTGTTCGGCCTCCTTCAGCTGCTTCTGGAGCTGCTGGATGTCGCTGTCTCTCTTCTCCACCTCCTTCTCCAGCAGCTGCATCTCCTGGTGCACCTTCCCCTGCTGCTGAGCCACCTCCATCAGCTCCTGGAACTCCCTGTCCCTCTGCACCAGCAGCTCCAGGATCTGTGGACAAAGACCACAAGCAGCAACCCCACCTCATTACTGACCCCTGGATGTTGTTTCATTATCCCAGCCTCACTGTGGCTTTGTTCCAGTACTTCCTCTGAGTCTTTTTGACGTGTTACCTGAGCGTCCTCTCCCGGCTGTGGCAGTTTCTGGCCCCTGGACAGAGCTAGCATCTCTATCAGCTCCCTGAAACAATAACAACAGGCAGCGGGAGTTCAGCTAACAGCCGGAAAAGAAAGCAGCTCTCGCGGCCGGTCACAGGCTTCGACCGGCCGAGGAAACGCTTCACGGGTCAGACAACAACGAACACAGCGGCGGGAAACAGCCACACAAATGTTTAACTTTACCGGGATAAAACCTCCAAGTCATCCAGCACAGACAGCAGCCGCTCTTTCGTTGACTTCTCCGCCACCGTCGCCATGGTTGTCTGCCGTCGCTACTACGCAAGACAGGAAGTGACCTGTTCGTCAACAAAATAAAAGCTCCACAGTGCCACCGGTTGTATCGGAGTGTGTAGGTACATTCATTACTTAAAAAAAAAAAAAACGATATCCTATTCTAAACTCACATTAAATATCCAACAAATTTATATTTCTCCAACTTTTCAGACACCGGAAACAAATGCAATTTTTTTTGTCTTTTTTGTCTTATTGTACTTTAGTTTTTGTTTTGTTTTTTGCCTTTTGCTTTTTATATTATTGTTTTTCTCTTATTTCCACTATATTTACTTTTATAATGTTTTACTACTTGTATTTATTTTAATGTCATTACTCTAGTGGCACGTGTTTGTATTGTATGTATATTTGATTGTTTTCTAATGTTTTCCTATTCTAAACTATATCCTGACTGTAGTGAACGACTAAAGCCAGAAGGAGGCAGTAATGTAGATTAAGGGGTGTCAACTGCCGTAAAACCATCGAAGAAGAAGAAGGAGGCGGAGCACCAGCAGTAGCAGCAGACGAAGAAGAAGAAGAAGAAGAAGAAAAAGGAGAAGAAGAAGGAATAAAGAGGATTTATCCACATATTGGTCCATAATAAAGGTAACATGTCAGTGAACAGCGATAAAACGCTTTAAGAAATAATAGAATATGCAGTCAGCATGTTTTAATGTTTGGTATAAACGCATTTACCTGTTGTTTTTTCATTATGGAGGCTTATTTAGTTAGTGAGGAGCTAACTTAGCCAACAGTTAGCTTTGGGAAAGTTACAGCTCAACAGTATCACAGACAAACCGAAGGGTGATTTTATGAATGTTCCTTTTTAACGGAGACCTCTTGCTGTTACACAGCTTTATAAACTGTAGAGAAGAAGTCAAAGAGAAAACGATAAGTGCAGCTAAACCTCCTCCAGGTACATGACTGGTTATTTCCACTGTTTACTCTATGTAAATATGGATTTTTGAATGACCTCAAATCAAGAGGTGGCACTCAGTTTGTGATGTCACAGTGTCACAGTCTCATGGCGTCGTCACGGAATGTTTTAAATTGATCACGAAAAGATCAACAGAGGAGTCAGGCTGTCTGTTCTCCAGTGTAAAACACCTGCGGTCACCTGAGCTGCTGTGGCTCCACCTACTTCACTCTGTGACCTGACGCTTATCAGGACAACACTGTCATGCATCACATACTGTATTTAGACAGACACTCAGCTGGCACTTTATTAGGTCCACCTAGCTAAAGCTAATGTAGCTTAATACAATGTTATAATGAATAATGATAATAATTGCTGTTATTAGCTGTCACTATTACTTATATCAGTAGTAGCATTACAGTTACCATTAACATCGTTATTATTATTGCTGTTCCTGCAACTATCATTATTATTATTATTATTATTATTATTGCATGGTGGTCTTTTCCTCTGCACTCTCTCCTGCTCCTGTTTCTGCCTCTTAAAAATGACTTTTTTCTTTGTTGGGTCTCTTTAAATAATGTTATAAAGAGAAGGTCTAGACCTGCCCTGTTTGAAAAGTGCCTTGAGATAAACTCCTGTTGTGAATCGGCGCTATATAAATAAAAATTGACTCAACGTAATACAACAGTTCTGTAAAATAATTGAGCCTACCCTCATTGATATAAATAGAGTGGGAAAAATAATGGAAACACCTGTGTGTATAACACTGAACAGCTCAACAGTAGCACAAACCCCAGCCTCTAAAATCATCACACAGGTGAATCAACACCTCTGAATTAGTGTCAACACAAACTGAACATCATAACCTTCATGAAAGAGGGTTTACTGCAAGACTGTTGGATTACATTGAATTAGTTTTATCTTGGTGGATCTTATAAACACATTACATCACAAAACATGGAGCCCAGGTGGCTTTCTATGAGGTCACACATTTTGATAGGTTTGGTACCAAAATGAGACGTTGTGATGCTACAACATCACCTGCTTAAAAGACCAAAGGGTCGGACAGATGTGGACAGGTGAGTGCTGGACAGTCCTATCTATACCTCACCCATATGTTATTCTCAGCAGGTATTTGTTTATCATATCATACAAACAAAAACTGATTCCCACAGTGTTTCCACAGCCGAGCCTGCTGTCATTACAGTGTGGGTGAGAAAACAACCTTCTTACCCCTGATAACACGTCCTGCGATGCTCTAATCACTGTTTGTGTTTCCTCCTCCAGATGCCCACTCAGAAGGAATGCATCGTCTGTAAGAAGAAAATCGGCGTAGCCAGCAAAACATGTGCACACTGCGGCGCCAAGCAGCCGTACAAACAAAAGCTGGAGAACATAAAGAGGAAACTTTCCCACGGCTGGAAGGAGAGGCAGAAGAAGAACAGCAGCGTCAACAAAGTGTACGACGCAACAAATCTACTGGTTGGTTGTTTCTTTGTTAAGTCATTGACTTCATTAGCATTTTATCATTCATCCTTGTTTCAGTCCTGGTTTATGATATATAGATATATGATGTATAGTTCAGTTAAGGCTGAACATCCAAACTGGACCATCAAATTGGACTAACACCATCAGCTCTGGTGAGGCAAAGAGAGAGTTTTCACTCAACATAGAAGTAAAGCTATCTGATTTTATCGAGTAGATATAAATATTTAATGATAATAATACAATATAATGTAGTACGTATGGGTATAAGTTACACAAAAGTATCTTAGATGGCCAAAATGTCTAGTGTGGTACCAATCTTATATTATAATCTAATATTCACAGGTGTGAATTATATGTGATGATCTTGTGCTGATGTTTTTCCAGCTCCACAAGTGGGAACTTCTGGAGCGACATCCGATGCTGCTTCTCGCCAGGAGAACTACAAATGGGTTTTTAGCCGAGTGTTTCTGTCCGTGGCAGATGAACGCAGAAGACGGTAAAGACGCCCTCGCCACAATAAAGAGGATTTATGAAAGTCTCCTTAACGGTAATTTACACAGACGTTATCACCCACAGCACAACATTTCACACACAAGGAACTTTACTGTCGTACATATGATGACATGAAACTGCATTTCCCAGGAGCTTTGGTGAAAAAAGGAGCAAAATTTAACTGAAACAATTTCAAATTTAAATTATCAAATAAATACACATAATATCAGTTCGTAACAAGAAGAGTAATACAACAAAATAAAATGAGGGATATCTGTGCAGAGGCCCTGAAGAAGAAAGGGTTTCAGAAACAAAAAGAAATCAGAGTAAAGGACAGAAGTGAGAGGATGTTGTGCAGGGTTGAGGTGAATTGTATATTTGTGTATTTTAAAACAGAGTTATGTGAAAGCTCAGTAGTGTAAAGAGTCAGTAACTGTTTGAATATAAAAACACCTTCTGTGCAGTATATTGTATGTGTAACTATTAACACAGAGCCTGCTGCTTATTGCACATGTGAACTGGGGGAGACGGGGGGAGGGGGACAGTAATGAAGTACATGTGCTTTACTGTATTATACTGTTTTTGGAAACTTCTGATTTTTACTCCACTACACCTGAAGACAAATATTGTACGTCTGACTCCACTACGTTTCTCTGTGCAGCTGAATCAGACTTTGATGTGTATGCACTTCGTTTACACTTATGTCTCAATCCAGTGGCTCTACCATCTGGACCAGCGGGGGGGCCGAGGGAGGGTCCAGCAGGAGACAGCGAGGAGCCTTCAGCCACACAGACACAGACTCCACCTCCCGACCACCTCGTCCTCCCTCCTCACAACGCAGCTGACCCGCAGTCAGACTCCGTGTCCTCCCCTCTGCTCAGCCCGCAGCTTCACACTGAATTCACTTTTGTCGTCGCACCTGGATCCTCGTCGCTGGTTTCTCCCCTGCCCTCGTCCTCCTCCTCGTCCTCCCACATCCCTCCTGTGTCCTCCTCCTCCTCCTCCCTGACCCGTCCTGTGTCCTCCTCCTCCCTCACCCAGCCAGCGTCCCCCTCTCTGGTTTCTCCGGTGTCACCGACCCTCTCTGTTTCTCCCAAACCGTCTCTCTCTCCTGCGTCCTCTCAGCCGGACTCTCCAGACTCAGTGTCTCCCTCATGGACGAGAACACAGGAAAGACGGCGACTAGACCCCAGTGGTATGTGTGGGTTCATCAGATTATCACCGTATTTAAAGTGAGTGAAACGGTTCCAGTCGGAGCAGCTTCATCCCGGTCAACAGGACCTGTCTCACTGGTGTTTGAAAACAGATTTACATCTTTGACGATTATCACTTAATATTCTCACGCCCATATTTTCATGTAAAGATGGTTTTTATTGCAGTAATAATTCCTACTGTTCATACTGGCCATGAACTATCCCTCAGTAACGTAACATCCCGTCTCCACCTGGTATTAAAATACGATCCGTAGCCAGATGTCCAGACAGTGCGAGACTCAATATCACCTTTTTTTGTTTGTCATTATTTTGATAGCCGTGTGAAAGTGAGAGAGGAAAGTCAGGGAGAGAGAGAGGGCATCAACACTGGGCATCAAAGCGCCAAACTCCTCCTTTATCTCCCCTGGGCAGGTGGGATATGTAATCCCTCCGGTGAGTTCTGGGTCGACCCCGGGGTCTCCTCCACTTTAGAAGGAGCCCTGGAAGCGGCCTTCACCAGATGCCTGAACCACCTTCACAGATGTGGATTTCATATATATGAACAGCTGTAGTTATGGGTCTTTGTGGTCAGTATCTACAGGAAAAATCATCACAGACAGCAGTCATTCTTCAGCATGGGCATGAAAGTGTCGTTTTAAGACAGATGTGAAAAAAATCTCGAGGGGATTCCTTTGTCCCGTAACATCAGTGGATCAGGTCCTGTTGGAGTTAACACTGACTTTAATCACATGGAAAGCTCCGGTTTCATTTCTGCGCTGTTCCTTTAGCCGTGACCCTCGTGGTCCAATGTTGAGACGATGTCAGCTGATCCTACAAATTATTAACATGTTTCAATTCGTTTCAGAGTGTCCCATTCATCAACGGTCCACCAGTTTCCCATACAAAAAAATACTGGGGGAGAGAATCAGGGAGGTTCGTAATCAAGACCAGCTTCTGAAATTACTGACAGAGTCATAAAGAGATGATAACAAATCTCTCTGTGGAGTCATAGTCCAACAGAAATACATCTTAGAGAGTCACTGTGCTTTGTTTTAAAAGAGTCTGTCAGTGAAAACGTTGTATGAGAATATACAGAATATTTGGTTTGAAGAGGATTCATCATATAAAGTTTCATTTTCTGATTTTATTATAAGAAAACTCAGTTTCTACATCAATCTCAAAACTTAATATATTTATATAAACTGCAACACAACACTTTATATGTTATTCAGTTAGTCCAGCTTTACTGTTATTGTTTGTTTTCACTTCGACCGTTTATTGAAAGAACATGATTAATTTGACCTTTCGTCTCTCTGTCTTCACTCAGGGACGCGCAGAGGTGTTGGTGCAGTGGTATCCTTGCTCCGGATGGTGTGTATGTTAATCTGAAGTTAACTGTAGGTGATGGAGCAGGAGGCAGAGAGACAGCGATGGTGTTTGAGCGCCGCGGTGCATTGGATTTTAAATGAAATGAGTTCAGTGAGGTTTAAATGCTGAATCTCAGCTCAAATATAAGACGATACTACGATGAACCAGTAACCTCCTTTAGTGCGAGGCGAAGGATTTAGAATGAAATCCTCAGGTGTGCATCGTTATTCTGAAGATATAGTATTAAACCTGAATATACCTGAAGCTGTCTCTGTGTGTTTTACATTAAATATAATAGTATCAGTGTAGTACTGAGTTCACCAGAGGTCAGTGACTAACTCTGCTGTGTCTTTGTGTCTTACAGTGGAGCAAAGTGGAAAAACACCTGGGAGCCGAAAGAAAATATTCTAAGTTAATTTTATCCTCAAAATAGTATTGTTTTATTATTATTATTGTTGTTGTTGTTGTTGTTGTTGTTGTGTTATGAGACATTTACAGAGACTGACTGACTGACTGAGGTTGTGCCTTTTCGCATCAGATTTTTGCCTTTAATGTAATATTTTAAATAATATTCGTCCGTTCTTTCGTGTAACTGCTTTTTAAAGCAAACATCCTCCTTTTTCTGCATCGAAGGAAACTGGATACATAAAATAAATCGTTTTTAATTAAACTTTATTGTCACTGGCTGGTTGTTATGGTTGTTAACAGTAACTTTGTCAGTTACAGTAAGATGAAGCTGCTGCTAATGATAAAGCTGAACAATAGTTTCTGTTATTTTTGTGTCACAGGACAGTGATGATTTCTCATGGCGATGGTGGATTGATTTAGAGCGGGGGATAACAGCCTGTATCTGGCAACCATCCGCAGTTGTCGGTTGAGTTTTGTTGTTGTTCTCTTGGTGGACAGACGCATCAAGGTAGACACGGGTAACTACGGGTGTTCCGGAAATGGAGTGTGCTCAACTTCAAAATAAGAGTAGGGTCGGTTTGGCAAAAGTGGGACATTGAAATAAAGCCTTGTTTTCCCATTTGACTTAAAAGTGACCAGAACATTAGTTTTATCTGAAAATCTACCTGTAACTCAACAGACCCTTTTACCTGTGTGATATCATCATTAATTCTCTTTATCCGAGCATGTTAAGAAGGGTTATTGTTTCACAAAACATGACTTTTGCTGAACACAGCCAACAACCTGTCACTAAATTTAGCAAACAGTTGTTCCGCAGCCAGAACAGTTCCCATTATGGACCAATGGAAAAGAGGCCTGTGCTTGAAATACTATGAGAATACACGTGTTTTTCTTGGCCATATTTCCTTTCTTGTCCCGAGTTGCCAAAGTGCTACAGGCCTAAATATTGAACAATTTTTTTAACCAATAACAGCATAAATACATGCCTGAAGGGAGAATGATAATAGAGGAATACATATTAAATGTAATTAAGGAATACATTTTAACTGGTTGGAAATCCACCCATGAGGGGGGAAAACTGGTTTCAAAGTAGGACAAGAAGAAGACAGAGAAACAGAAGATTTGATCAAACAAACACATCTCAAACTAAAACATTTATAAATAAAATATCAATAAAGATCAATTCACTTATTTTTGTCCATCAAGAGAAAATCAATTGACAACTATTGTGATTCATCATTTAAAAATCCACTGGCTGCAGCTAGAGTTTATGTTCCAAATGTATGTGTTTGCTTGTTTTCTTAGCCTTCCAAAATAATAAACTAGGGCTGCAACTAATTATTTATCATTGTCAATTGTAAATTAATCAGATTGGTTGATAAAAAGTTGTTTTTCTTAAGCTATTACGTTTATATTTCATATTATATTTTATATATTTAATTTTCACTTTTGCTCTGTAAGTGTATTTATCTTTTTTATTATTATCATTATTTGTTTATTTATTTATTCATTTATTTATTTATTTAAATTTAATTTTGTGTGTGTTTGTGTTATTCAGTTTGTAAAGTAAGTGGAGACTCCCTAGATGCTTTTGCACTATAAATAAACTGAAGATGAAGTTTGATTCGTTGTTTTTACTCCTTCTTCGGAATGATAAATACTGTATCTTCCACCGCTGCTCACAGAGCAAAAGTTGCCAGGTTTGGCAGTTATGGTTTTATTTTGAAACCTCAGCCGGAAGCCGCGCTGTCCTATGCCTAGCTTCTCTCTCGGCCGTTATCACAACAGATCAGACTTGGCCGGAGCAAAGTACGAGTACTTTACTTCGGAGCAATTTCTCCCTGTTTTTGTCCATTTCGCAGCTTTTTCGTCGCCTTTCTTCGTCGGTCGGAGTTTGTCAGCGCTTGTTCCAGGATGGTTAAAGTGTCTTTTAACTCGGCTTTGGCCCAGAAAGATGTGAAAAAGGACGCCGAAACTCTTATTCCCGAGGAGGACAAAGTGAGTAGAAAATGGCTAACTTAGCTAACAGCTCGGTGGAGGAAGCAAACACGCAGCAAACACACAAAGGTGTCGTTCAGCTGAGCTTTCACTACATTTTCTGTAACTTTTACACTCTTATAAAAAGGTCACTGTTGTATTTTTATTGGGACGTTTCTGTTTTGTAGTTACGTTACTTAATATGGGAATTTGGCATCTTCCGCATGTTGCGTTCAATGTTTTTTCGCTTTGATAAACATAATATTTCTACTAGTTTTGCTCAGTTGTTGGTCCATTTTTACATTTGAAAAAGTGTTATAGAAAGTCTTTACCTTTATGTCAGGGTTCTATCTAAAGTCACAGTTAATAATTATATTTAAATCTATGAACCTGTCAGCACAGGTTTTAATTTGGTTTGAAAAAAACAAACAAAAATCAAGATTTTTTTTTTTTTTAAATGTGATTCTTCATATTGGTTTGCAGTTAGCCAGAAACGTAAGCCAGCTTGTTTACATGGTCGTTAATTATCTGAAGCTGTTTTTATTTTAATATTTATTAAATATTTCAACGCCTGAATGTGAAAACTGAGAAGTATTCGTTTCCTGCTGGTCATTTTATCTCTGTGAATTAGCTGAAAACAGGGTTTGAGTCTGTTCCCCACACACATCTTGTTGTCTTTCTGTCTGTCAGCAGCTGTTTCTCAAACTGTGCAGAACTGTGGGTTAGTTTATAAGAAAACTGGTTGAAAACCCCTTTATCCTGTTGTTTTTGAAAAAGTGCGTCACCCTGAAAGAGAAAGTAAACCTGTTGGAGGGGGAGATACCCATCACCCACATGTAAAATCCATGCACATTTTAGCTGTGGCCTGAAACTTTTTTCTAGGACGTTATTGAAGAACATGTATAGTTTGAAGTGAGGAGAAGTCACCTACATATGAACAATAAGTCTAGCTTTGTGATTTGATCTGGCTGAAATTTAGTTTGTCTGCAAAACAGCTGCTGCAGATGTTAATATTTTGCATGGTGTTGCTGTTTTTAAAGTACATGTGAGCACTGTGTGATGTAGTTCTGCAGGTCTACACTTTTGTCTCTGGTTTTTAGATGCCACTTTTGCTCTATATGTTCCACATGTTGTGTTCATGTGCTGCTTTTGTGTTTTGGTGACAGTTTTCCACTCTGGTGAACAAAAAAGTTTGATTTTACTGGAATAATTCAGTGTTTTAAAGCAGATCGGGGTGTAAAACTGCAGTGTTCTGGGGCGTGTTGTGTCTCACTGGGTGAAGTCTGGTAAAAACTCCTTGCTCCGTCTCCACCCTGTTGAGAAAACCGTGCTGCTGTTTCCCACAGAGGAAGTTTCAGCTCTGTCTGCAGATTGTCAGACAGGTTTTTTTCCTGTTGCATAAATAAGACTCTAAGCGCTGAGCTGTAGGTTTTTATAGTATGTAAAGTACGTTCTGCAGAAGAAGGCGCACGCTCTGTGACTGAGAGAATGAAAAACCAGAATGTCAGAATCTGAGTAAACTGGTTTTTAGAAACCTTGTGGGATATCTCGTCTTGACTTTAACCTATTCACACGATGTGTGATGTGATCAATGTCTTCGCTGCTGACAGATTTCACACAGTCTTCCTGTGTGGTTATTGTGGCTGTGGCTGTGCAGTGGTAATCTGGGCTGGTTTTCAACCCCTCCCTCTGAGTTTCAGTCTGGCTGACTCTTATCTTGATAATCGCAGCTTAATGTTTTTCTTCTGGGGGATTGGAGTCGGCTCAAACGCAGCAGATTCTCTGCTTATTAGTGTTGTTTTGGGGGGATTTTTTTTGCCGGTTTCATCTGCAGCTCTGAACTCAGAGCAAGGTCACAGAGTGGTGTACACTCAGCTGGCAGATTATTAGGAACAGCTGGCTAAAGCGGCTCCTCTTTCATGGAGGTTGTAATGTTCAGTTTGTGTCGGCGCTGTTGTAGAGAGGTGTGCGATCAGTTTGGAGGATGATGTGTGTGGCGCCGTCGGTGGGTTGTGAAAAGGTTGTCGCCCAGCGTCCCATCTGTCTCAAACATGCTCAATATTTCCAAGACGCCATGATGATGATGTCACTTACCAATGAACTCTATCACCTAAGCTACTTTGATTCCATGTATCATTATTACTGAAGGAGGCAGAGGAATAATTAAACATAAGACAGAGAGAGCAGAGAGAGAGGGAGGGAGAGAGAGAGAAGTCATCGGTAACGAGGCTTCGTACTAACGACTATGACCAACTCTACTTATCAAACAGAGGGAGTTAGACATAAAGACCTGCCTCTAATAAAAGTCTGTGACGTTCTGGAGTTGAACTAAATAAAGACTGATCTATTGTGGATCCAAACGGAGGTTTAGACCTGGTCTTGTTAGTTTCTGTTTCAGTTCCATTGGGCATCCTCATTGTCTCGCTCACTGTTTGTCTTTCTCTCACTTTCCAGAGAAATCCCCACATTTAGTTTAAGCTCACAAACCAGAAGTGCAAGTAATTGTTTCATGCAAAGAAATATGGGAGGAACAACTGAGAAGCTACCATCCTTATTTCCTTTTTAGAGCTGTTGAAATGATTATTTTCATAATGCGCAGCTTTACGTTAATGAACCTCCATCAGTCAGGAGCTGTGTTGTTTTTAACTCTGCAGGACGTTTGTGTCTGTAACAGGTTAAACAGAGAAGAAACCAATCAGCCAAATGAGCCTGTCTGTTCCTAAGACAAAAAATAGACCAAGCTAAATATTTAGCCTAAGCGTGTCTACATGCTCATTTTAGCTTATCCCTGAATTAGTCTTATCGGCTGTGTTTAACCAGCAGCTCTGGAGCCAAACAAGGACGTGGGTTTCTTCCTGTTGAGTAGGAAGCTGCAGAGTGCTTCATTCAACAGCTGAAACTAATCTGATTCATCTGCTGGGTTTTTTCTTAATTGATCTCGTATTCTTTTATGTATAAAATGTCAGAAAATAGTAAAATGGCTCCAGGTGATGTCTTCAAATGTTGTTTCGTCTTCTTCACACTAATGATACTCAGTTTACTGTCACATATGACGAAGGAAATCATCAAATCTTCACATTTAAAAAGTAGGAACCAGGAAATAATTCAAATATTTTATATATAAATGATTAATCGATGAACAGAATAGAAGTTCTGCTTCATTCGTGTGATTAAAAACTTCTATTGCGGTAGCTATTACATTTTCTGCCTGACTGCTTTTCACTGTAGATGAGACTGTGTTAGTTATTGCACATTTGTCCGTGCTGTGCACTCAGACAGGATTAAATGGAGTCAATCAGCATCATCTCTTAGTGAACACAGTTGGACTTTTTGCAGATTAACAGTTTCCTGCTGCTGACTCGGCTCATGTACAGATCCAGGCCATAATGAGCTCGGCTCAGTTTAGAAACCTGCATGATTCACTTTGATACTTGACGGCAGACACCCACATTTTAGAAGCTGCTAACAGGAAATCTTGGGTAAATTTTAAATGAGTTTCATGATTTCATTGTGAAATTAGTTGTAGAGTAACTTTCAGTTGATTGACAGTTGGTTTAGTTGTTGACTGATTGTTTCAGCAGAACACAAAATAGATGTTGATGACAGTGACCTCTGTGCCGACTGAATCATCACTGCACGGAGGGGACGAAGGCATTAAGACAAGATATAAAAAAGTCACATAAATATAGGGTTTAAAAACAGTAAAATGAAATAGAGGATTCCTCTGTAGAACTGCCGCAGAGGAAAGAGTGAAAATCACCTGCCGCCGGCTCAGGCTCAGGTGAGCAGGTAGGAACACCTGAGCACATGCGTCACACCGTGCCGTCAGCTCTGTGCAGTAGAGATCACATCAGCGGCTGAGAATGTGAATCCTGCCGGGCCTGCAGCAGGTTAACCTTCAGCCTGTGTCGGTACATGACAGTGAGGTGTGGGTGACGCTAATTAAAAGGTTGGTTTTCACAACTCGGTTCTCACATGAGCTTCAGCTGGGGCGGGGCGGGGAAAATCATCAGGTTATCTGCAGGTATTAGAAAGGCTTAAAAATAACTGAATTTCCTATAAGGTATTTAGAAGTACGCAGGTGGATTTGGGCCACATGTAAAAAGAAATTAATTGTTCCCAGAATTCTGAGTTTAAAGTCTGAATTCACATTTGGCCCTAATGAGAATTTTACTTATTTATTTATTTTTTAAGAAAGTCAGAATTTTGAATTTAAAGTCAGAATAAAACTTGTGGCCCTAATCCTCCTCTGTATGAACATGTTAAATTGATGCTGGTGGTTCAAGTTTCTGTTGAACTCTAAATGTAAATGTGAGTTTTCCAGGAGCTGAAACTCAGCAGCAGCAGCAGCAGCAGCAGCAGCAGTGGGATTGATTCAGAGACGCTCTGCTGTGAGCGCAGATGCTAAAGATGCTTTATTAAGACGCCGTGGCTCGAGCTGTAGCTGATAATGTGAGGGTGTTGCACTGA